TTCGACGATCTCACGCGAGCTCAAGAATGAGTTTGAAGCGGTTCGGATCAGCCGACGAACGTCGTATGGCGTTGCTTTGGGTGGTCTTCCAGTGCGTTTATTATCATTGTATGTATTGGGATTTCTTAAGAACGATGCAATGGCAGTACGTGATCGACCTATAAGTCGTTCGATCTCCCTTTGGCTTTTCCCGGCAGAGTTCAGGGCCAAAACCATGCCTTGCTCTTCCTCGGTGAGTTTCGGTCCCGCTGGCATGCTATAATGACATTTGAAATGAACTGTTGCTAGAACAAGAAAAACGTGGTTTTTTGTCATGAAAACGCTTCAAATCGAACTGACGGCGGGGTGGTTTTATACTTATTGCCAAGTGGTTTTTCTGATTTGGCGCCTTTTTTTTAATAGCGGCTGAAGTAGTTATGCAACTCAAACGTCATCATTATGTCTTCACATGGTCTTTATGGAGCTCAAACGACTTTGAATTCATAGCATTATCCCTCTAATATGCTTGTCGGTCACCATTTTAAGGTGGTCTTATACATATTGCCAGCACTGTAATAGCCCCGGCTGCGCAAGTTCTGTCGGAGTTCGACCAATTCAGTACAAAACTGGGCGTGGTCGTGCGATTCTTTCAACGCCGCGACTTCATCTTGCAAGTCTCGAATCTTTGCCTCCAACTTCTCCGTGGTGGAGACCTCCACAGGCTTCAAGTCAAACTTGTACTTGGCCGACAGCTTCGCAAATGCTTGCATTGTCAACGTCAGCTCGAGATGTCCCTTTGTTCCCACTGTCATGTCCACGGCAGCTCCTTGCGTGGCAGGCTTGGCAACTTTGCCACCAGTGGTCACAGCAACCAACGCTTCCTACACACCGACAGCTCAAGATGCTGTGTAGAGAAAGGCACCCGCCTGAAGCATCGAAATGACGGCAGTGGAGGGCAGGACATACGAGGCTGACTTGGGGGCGTGGTCTTTCGTGTCAGTCACAACGCAAGACCTGGCCACGACGTGAGACACAAGAATCGAGTTGTTGTTGCCCACCACTGGCTTTTGTTGACCTTGTTTTCGATCCAAATCTTGCACGGGACGTCGCCGTTGGCCGAGTCCACTTTGATGCGGCACGCATCCGCATACGATGGAAACTTGACCGTGGCCATTGGCGTTGCGTGGCCATCGGACTCTGCTTTTGGGGGCATCCAAGTCGCACTGGGGGGTGAAGTTCGGCAATGAGGAAAGAAGAGAGATAGCGGAGATGCGGCAGTTGAAACCCATGCGAAGAGCGACACAACGGTCAGTTCCTGTGAATCTCGAATCGTGGGGTTCATCCATCGTGCTGGGCATAAGACGAGAGTGTCGGGGAGGTGGGCTTAGAGGGCCACACCGCTCCCCATCATCCCATGCCACGGCACATGCCACCGTCCCATGTGCGGGATGCACCGCCACGGGATGACCGCACTCCATCCGAAAAAAACTCACACGTTTCAAATGTCCATGCCGTTCTAGTGACCACAGAAAGTAGAGTGTATGTTGTTGAAGTGGGACTGTCCGAAAACTCTGTTTGGTGGTGGCCATGCTGCGTCGTCGTGTAGGCGGCGCGCATCGCGTTCGCGGGTGGGTAAGGACGGCGGCCGCTGCGTTCTGTTGATGAGTTGGTGTAGGGTGACTGCGTTCGCCTGTAAACGCGGTTGGCCCCCCGTTCTGACAATGACAGCCTTCTGAGACTTTATATTTCCGAAAACCACCCTAACACCTGTATCATTTTATATTTTCCACACGACGGACATGTCAATGTGTCTACTGGCGACGGCGGCGACAGTCGCGCTTGTGTCGTGTGCGATTCATGCTGTGCAGGCGGGGGAGACTAATAAATTGGATGTGCCCTACCGCATCATCGAAAGAGATGAAGTGTAAGCTCCTTATGAATTTCGTTGACGATGTCGAAGTTGACGAACAGCCGACAGAGTCTGGGCATGGGGCAAGTTGGAAGGCAAGAAGGGCAGTGCTCGCCCGGACAATTGGACAGCTATCACCCAAGACCACATTCTGTACGACAATGCCAACCTCACAAAGCTGTACGTTGTTGTCATGTGCACTCATCGTCGTCGCCACGATCACGAAACTTGCTGCATTGCGTAGGACGTTCTTGAACGTTGAATTGCAAACTCTACTGCCATCACACACCCTTCCACCACAACTCAAGGACGTGTACGATCTGCTCCCCTCGCTGAAGCCCACGAGGCCGTCATATATCGTAGAGTCATTGTCAACTGCGCCTTGCCCGAGATTCCTACCGATATGCTTTACATGACACACCTGGAAAAGCTGTACGAAAATTACATGGATGTCCCCACGCTGAACGAATTATGGATGGTTGCGTAGCGATCTCAGCCGCAACAATCTTGCCGATCTCAACCTGACCGCACTTGTCACGTCGACATCATACCCCTACCTGCTGCACCTGTACGCTTTCCATCCCGCCATTCCTTGCATCATCTCATGCCATGGTCCCAGAACTGTCCAGGAAAACGCCCTGCGGTCGTTCGACATCTCAGCTCCGTCGCTTGTGCAGCTGTAACCACGTCGATCTCCGCTGCGTCCGCTAACACGGCGCTCTTCTAGAGACCTGACTGGCAACCAGCTCACGGAGCTCCCCCGATGCATCTACACCATGATCGACCTTCTCGAGCTCTACTTGGCCAACAACTCGATTCCGTTGCCGCTGCATGTCACCCCGTACGAGTTTGAGTTTCTGTCGGGGCTGGACTACTTTTACATGGACTCGTTCGACTCGATCGTGTGCAATGGCGACGGGAGCCAGCTGCACATGCTCAAAGGAAACAAGATCTGCGTCACAGCACATGCGTCCGGCGAGTCGGCGCCGGCATCACCCCCCAGTGACGACACCAGCTGGAGTTACTCGACGCTTTCGTGGATTCTCCTGGTCAGCGGCATCATCGAAGCAGTCGTCGGCGTTGCAGTGTTTATGGCGTATCGTAAGCAAAAGAGCCATAAGTGGGCAGCGCTGCAGCACAGCTACACGACGACGGCGTCCAGCGGCGAGCGAGAGCGCCTCTTGTCGGTGGAGCACGTTATCTACGCCAGCATGGAGGCATGGACGTCCAAGACGCCGCTGTCCGAGGCGCTCGAAGCGGAAGCGCTACGACTCGACTGCGACGCCCTGTCGCTAGATGTTCGACTGGCCCAAGGCGGGTACGGCGAAGTGTGGAGAGGCCACTATCACCACTCCCTCGTTGCCATCAAGCTGTTGCTGCCAGAGAAGCGAGCACCGGCCGACATCGAAGCATTTATGCGAGAAATCGTGCTGCTGGCGAGGTATGTGCTTGAGAACGACGGAGGTGGTGGCGCTGGGCAACGCATGCCACTTGGTCAAATGCCTCGTGGATTTTGTGACGGCTGCTGTCGTAGCACGTGCTCGCACTCACCGCGTGCTGTGTGTTTGAAACAGCTTGAACCATCGCCACATCCTCCAGTTCCTCGGCGTTGCGTGGCCAAAGTCGAAGCGCGACCTGATGCTCGTGACGGAATATGTCGCTGGGGGCGACTTGCGAGTCCTGCTGGATGCCGACCCGTCCCGTCCATGGAGTCAGCGAAAAGTGCAGATTGCCATTGACATTGCCGTCGCGATGGAATATCTGCATGCACTGGACATTGTGCATCGCGACATCAAGGCGAAGAACGTGCTGGTGGACGCTGAGCACGGAGCAAAGCTGTGCGATTTTGGCGTCGCTGTTCACGTTTACACGTTGGTCGGAGACGGCCCCGACCAGCAGCCAGCGACGCAAGGAGGCTTTGGTACCGCCAGAGCTCGCGTTGGTATGGTGGCTGATGATGCGTGTGGCAGGAACGTCGAGATGGATCGCCCCCGAAGTTCTCTCTGGCGAAAGGTTCACAAAGGCCGCCGACGTGTATGCGTTTGGAATTGTTTTGTCGGAGCTCGATTCGCACCAGATTCCGTATGCCCATGCACGCACGGCATCTGGCAACGACCTGACAAATGTTGCCATTTTGTCCCAAGTTGTCAAGGGAACGATGACCCCCGAGTTCCAAGACACATGCCCAGACCAAGTGCTTCATCTCGCAAGGTATTGCCTGCACCCGAACCCAAAAGCGCGACCCACGGCCAGCGCTGTTGTCGGGCGGCTGCTCGAGGTGGTGTTGCCACCTTGCGATGTCGACAGCAGCACATCACAACTTTGATTGTTTTATGCCTTCTATCTCGTGCATCATCCTGCATGCCGTTGCACGAGGCGGATCGTAGAGACGTCGTGGAGATGCCGCCGACTAGATGAACATGGATGCGTCCCCAGTGCGCTCGTTGCCTGCGGCAGCCCCCCAAAACGAAACCATCTTGTTGAACTTGTACTAACAAATAGTATTTAGTACTACTAAAAGCACAACTACCTGCAGAAATGCATGTTTTGTATACTGTAAGTTATATGATATTTCGTATGTCCTCCAATCGAGGGAATATTCGAGAAGGGTGCTGTTGTATGCCCGTCACTCATGCACCCCCCACACACCTCGCGCGTGCACGTGCGAGTGGAGTTCCTTTCGCAGCATAGCCACTCGGTGCTAGTGTAGGTTGACACAAGCCCTCTCACAAGTCTTTCGTAGTGACCATGCGCTGAACCGCATGGGATTCTGCATGTGACGGATGCCGAGACGACCGACAACTGTTTGAGCGTTTGTTCGCCCAAGTGTCGTGCTTCACATGTGACCCTCTTCGCGTACAACACCTTAGAGTACCACAGCCAGAATGTGCATTCACGGCAAAGACGCTGACGATGTCACTTTTCATCTGAATGTGCCTCCACAGACATGCGCTGCCCACCTTCGGCGGAGGCATCGCCGTCGGCGTGGTCGCCTCCGTGCGAATGTGTTGTCGCTGCAATGGCGCGCTCTGATTGGGTGGATTTTAATGCTCAAACCAATCACAGCCCGAGAAAACGGCTTGAAACCGTCGTCGACTCCCCCGTTTTCAAGTCATTTTTCAATTTACTGCCCGTTGCCGCGTCTGCCGCCCTTTCCGCCCGCTACCATCCTGAAGAGAAGAAACCCATTCCTCGGTCTGAGTGTGCACCCGCTGCTTGAGATCAACGTGTTCCATGAGCTGCATGTCGTTGGCGTACCCATGCGCAGCCCTACAACCAGCCGCATCATCCGTCCAACAGGCGTTTGCGCGGGGAGTCCGCCCGATCTTGCTCGATGATGGAACTGGAGGAGTTTATGCATGTCGATCACTGCATCAACGATTTGTCGGGATATTCAAACCATGCGATGAAGAACCTGGAGCTCCGTTCAATCCCAAGGAACATGGAAACGTAGTCCGACGAGGCGTTCCGCTAGGTCAAATGGCAGTCCGCGAGTGCATGGCCTTTCTCGTGGATATCGACGGGTTTGCCCGTGTACCTGCCACGGCGTTAGCATTTAGTAAGCATGAGGTGTACAACTCGGGCGCAAAGAAGCTCGGGTCGTTTCAAGCGTACTGTCCGCACGATTGCAGTGCAGAGGACATGGGGCCAGCGTCGTTCTCTGTCGACCAAGTGCACGCGATTGCGTGTTTGGACATTCGCCTCTTTAATCAAGATCGCCACTCTGGAAACCTCCTCGTGCAGCATACTTCAGGCAACCAGACGTCGCCATTGCAACATCCATGGAACCTGATTCCCATTGACCACGGCTGTTGCTTGCCCGAGTTGGAGTACATGGACGAAACCACGTTTGCATGGATGCACTGGCCTCAAGCGAAGGTACCGTTCGACACCAAGACGAAGGCGTATGTGGGATCATTGGACTCGTTCGCCCAGGAGAAGACAATGAAGCAATCGATTCGCCCCCCTGTAAAGGCGCTGGCAACACTGCACGTGGGCACGTTATTGTTGAAGAAGTGTGTCGCGATGGGACTGACTGCGTACGACATGGCGCAGCTGCTAGTGCGCTCATCACCATCGGTTCCGTCTCCCGTGGAGTGTCTCGTGGCCCAACTCAAGCATTTGGACCCATACAGCCACATTCAGCTTTATCTTCGTGTTTTTGAAGTCGCGTTGGACAAGTTGGTGCGACGCATGTTTCCCCGTAGCAGCAACAAACCTGCCGCGTGCACCGACAATGTTTGGATGGCGCAGGAGCAGTCGCAGCAAACGTACGTGGCGCGTAAGACGTACGCCAAGGTCCTCCTGTCTTCCGCGGCGTGAATCTCTCAGCTCTCGTTCAGAGCCATCCATACTTAAGATCGTGAAGATGTCGACTGTCTTGGACTGCTTACTCTATTCAAAGTGATCCCGAACGTTCTCTCGTCCCCTTTGTTCATGGCAATGGTAGTGTAGTGCTCAATGCTTTTGACACGGGCTAGCTATTGGTAATAGTCTGCAAGTAAAGTCGCCACTTCTGCCAGAGCTTGGCTTTTGGAATGCCGGTGATCGAGGATCACTTGTGGCCGGTACGCATCCCGAGGACGACGCAGCGCAGCATACACAGGCAGCTGGCGAAGAGGCGGTAGTGCCGGGGCATGGCGGTATCCGTCGAAGCGGGAAGGAAGCTGCATGGGTGGAAGCGTCAATTTGGGGGGACTGCGAAGGGCTTGCCATGATGGGAACGCAAGGGGTGGTTGTGGATGGAGGCGGTGGGCAAAGAAAACGGGGTCTGGACAATGTGGCTCGTTCTTGACCTGCGGTGGATTTCTTGGTGGCTGGTGCGGAGCTGTATGGGCTACGGGATGCGAACGTAGGGCCGATGTGGATGGCGCTGCACTTTTGGCTCGAGGTGTTTGTGGACTATCGAGACCGTCGCACTTGAATTCTTGCGCCATCTTTTCCTTTTTGGTCATGTGCCGCGTGCAGAGACCACGCATCCTGGCGAGCGTCTTGCACCCGTCGACGCTGCACACCCGGCGACCACCATGGCGAAAGCACCGACCACCGAGATGCGCTTGGTTCGTGCAGCCTGGTTCCGAGCAGTGGCGAATGTGCTCTGGAGGCCCGTGCTTGGTACAAAACGTCCCAATGCGCGAGTTGAGCACGCAGCCTTCGAACTGGCACTGGAGCTTGCCCCCGTGCTTGACACAAAACCCGCGCGCGTACACTTGGCTGCGACAACCTTCAATGGCACATAGCCGACGGTGAAGATGGAACGCGCACTTGACCGAGCCGTCGGCACATCCGTTCTCGCAACCAGCAAAGAAGCACCGCGCCGCCATCGCCACTGACTGCCGAAACTTGCTAAGTTACATGCTTCCTGCGTACGTCGAGACGTGGGACATGTACAGTGGGCCCATAGATATAGGGCCAGATGTCTGCCGAACGGCATGTTGACGGCGGCAGCGGTCGCTTCTGCGCCAGCGACGCGGGGTGGCCTTGCTTGTGGTGTTCCAGCCCTGGCGCTGCCGCAGGCGCTCGCTGCAAACATCGGGAGCGGCTACGTACCATGCGCTCCATGTCGGCCGAAAATCTTGCGTCGTTTGTAAAGAGTCACCAGGGTACGGCCACCTGTTTTTCCTGCGCCACCATCGTCGAGAGAGAGTGAGCGCGACCACCGCCAGACTAACCTCCTCCTGGGTGGGACCTGCAGCAGCCATATCGAGCTAGGGACCGCACGATGCCTTCGTCCCATGGCAGCCCCCGCAGCAGTCGCGCGGACGGACGTCAAGACAATGGTGAGGTCGAGGCCATATGGAATTGCGTCGTCGGCAACCGTGTTGTCGTCAAGCATGTGGCGCAGCCACTTTCCTCCACTCCGGTCGCTCACTGTTGTCGATCGAGTTCTGATCTCGGACCATGCACGCGCTCGTCTGGTGGATGCTCCCCGACAACATTGGCTCCACCTCCCGCATTCCCGCAGCTCGTTTCTCCGTGAGTCGCCATCGACGGCCGCACCGTATGTGAATCCTAGTATCAAATTCCATCCCCATGTTGTTCGTTGACAACATCGCCAGATGCGACATCACCACATATGGGTGTGGGCTGCACACGCCGCGTCGTGGATCGCTGTGCCGAGACACGTGCATTTGTTTGTCGCGAAGGTAGGTTGTCGTTCGTGTGTGGTGGGCTGTTGGCGCGGAGCAAGCACATGAATAGCTCCCCCACGCATGGTATGTACACCATAGCCCCTCCGCGTGAGCTCGGCCATGCCGTCTCCGGCGGCACATCCCCACTTCGACGTTCTTCTACATTGCTGACCGGATATGGTAACCGGAAAGATCCCCATCCCCGCCAGGCGAAACGTCGCGAGGGTTGTCATGGACGAGTTCGCCGATCTGAGAGACGGCAGTGGCGATTGGCAAAACATCCAAGTAAGCCAGCGCTCCATGGAATGCATGGCCACAGGAACTGATAGAGTGTGCTGCGAGGGACGTTTCAGCTGCTGTTGGAGAGCAAGCACCGCCAGGAGCGGCGAATTGGTCAGCTGGAGCAGCGTATCGAGGTGTGTTTTGCCAACAAACGTGCCACGCCATTCCATGTTGAGAACTCCGTCGATGGGATAGGAGCTACAGCAGCATGTGAACGCGAAACCTGACAAGTCGTTTGTCCAGCGCTCGATCCAAATGCACTGGAGCGCCGATGAAATCGACACAAATGCTCACGCGAGGTGGGCATCATGTCCACTCGCCATGGTCTGGACGGGTGGATTTTCAGGAAACATCACCCCCCAGACGGTGGGGGTACTGATGCCGCGCTGGCGAAAACGGTTGAAGTCCTTCAACACCAGATCAAAGCGCTCGATGAACGGGTTCTCGTCTCCTCGGTGAGTTCTGTCGTCGATCTGACCTCCACCATGAACTAAACCATCGGAACCACAGGACGCACACCTCTGTCTTGCCACGGAGCGTCGTGTGCAGTATATTGAGGAGGAGCTCCGCTTGGTATGTCATGGACTTGGAGAACGACTGCTTTCTTGACAACACGTTAGATTGTCCCGATCATAGATAAAAAGGCCGACATGGAAGCCATCCATGGATGGCTGAGTCAATCCAAGGACAATTGGAAGGACGCGATGAAGAAGCGCCTCAAGACGTCGACGTTCGAGCGGGAGGTTCAAAAGTGGAATGCACGGATGGACCAAATCGAAGCGACCGTGAACGTCGTGCAGCAGCACACGGTGCCCGAAACGAAAGCCCAGTTGCACCAAATGAGCACGAAATTGCACCAACACGAAGCCACTTTGGCTCGACTGGCGTATTTTGTACAGAAAGGCAGCGACGCTGCTGGACCGAGCCTGGCCGCGCTCCAAACTTCCGTGGCCGAGCTCGATGCAAAGCTGCGCCACACCATGACACAGGTACAGCACGACGAAAGTGCACCCGCGGTTCGGATCGCTCATGCCATGGCTGGCCTCAAGATACAGACCAAGGCACAGACCGCCGACACTGTCGCACCTGTAAGCCATCCTTCTTGGTGGGATCGCGAGGTTTAAATATTGTCGTGAATACTTGGCAGAGTGCTGAACCAGGCCATGGCGACCTCCAGGTTCCATCGTGTCAAGGTCAACTCGTGCCATGGAAGCTGCTTCATAGGCGAACAAGGCAGTTCACTCCAACGACGACCTAGCCAAGGTATGACAGGCACACACATCACCTTGTCAACCGAAACGCGCTTGGAATCCTAGAAAATCGACCTCCTCGAAACCCAACTCGCGGTACGCTGCGGCGCCACCAACGTTCGAAATCTCAAGCGTGAGCTAGGTTGCCACCACAAGGGAAGGCGCTAGGCCCTCACGCGACTCGGAGGTACGTCGTCGGCTCTTCCTAGCCGTTCATTATGACGATGGCCGTGGTAGAATGTGGTACCAAAAACTCGCTCTCATTTGGACGAACGACCGATCGAACCGTGCAGGCCGTCGTGGACGAAAAAGTGCACCAACTGACCGAAATTCTTCATGGCTTTGTTTCGTGAGTGCAGAGGTTGTTGTCCCCTTGCAACGCGTGAGTTTTGTGTGGCGGTAGCGATATCCAGATCGAATTGGAGCAAATGCAGGCGAAACAAGCCAACGCGATCGCTTTGGAGCAGTACGCAACTCCAATCGAGCCAACGTTTGAAGCAAAGGATGATAGGAGGGTCGGCAGCGCCGAAATCGAGCTCGTACGAGTTTCGACCACCGTCCAAGAGCTCATCACGGCAATGTCGCAGCTGGTGCACCACCTTCCGTCCCCCGCGCCGACCCCGCACTCTCCGTCCCCGCCAGAGGTGGGATTTCCCCCCGGTGCATCTCCTTCGCCATTGCTTGCTGACGAGACGGCCCAACTCCTCGAACTTGAAGCGCTGCTCGCCGCGTCCTGGCAAAAGTACTCGTCGCTTTCGTCAGAGTACTGAAGAAGTCACAGAATCGATGTAGCTACGACCCAGCGATGGTGCTGGGGCCCCAAAGCCAACTCGAGCAAGTTCGAGACCAGCTCTCTGCCACGATCAACGAACCATCCACGCCCCTTCGCGACTTTCACCAGATGCTGCATCGTCCCCCGGACCCCCACGCCGGGGTTGCGCAAGCCTTGTCGGCTACGTTAGCCCATTGCAACTCTCCGCGCAGTCAGTCGGCAATACAACGGGAGGGAGTTCGTGCCCCCCTATGAATATCACGCATCAAAGCATTCTTTGACGCATTGAAGGCTCTGTTGCTGGGCGTGTGACACAACCATCACACTAGCCATTGAATTGCCCCGCCTCCTTCTCTTTCCCTCCCCAGCGCTGCTGCCTTTGAAGTGCACACCGCCGATCTCACAGCGCTGGCACGGCAGTCTGGTGTCGTCGTCCGTCCGAACAACCCCGAATGAATTTGCAACGTCGCAATTGCTGGTGTCTGTCTCGCCAGCCTCGACGCCGTTGGAGTGGCACTTTCGACGGTAATGGACATGGCGCTCGAGTTTGACGTGGGTACAGCGTGAGCTTGTCTGAAGGCGGCTTTGACGTGCAAGTGCGCTCGTTGCATGGTGAGCTGCCCATGAAGCTCTGGACGCCAAAACTGACCAAGGAGAACTGGCGCGTCTTCCTCTTGCCTTGGCGTTTGTGCGCTCCAGTGCAGGGTGGTTGGTTCGCTAGGGAGTGTGTCGAGGCCGACGATCTCGGCCCACGCCTTTCCGTTCGCTGAAGGGGCCAGCACCGGACAGCACCACTACGCACATGGCTAGTAGGGGCTCATGACGGACCTCGACAAGAATTGGAGGACTGGGCTTCTGTTTACGGGATTCGCATGAACCCCGTCCACTTCGAGTTGACGCTTCACATCTCCACCGACGACGACATTGTTGCATGGTCCTCGTTCATATTCACCTGGACAAACGGAGAGGATGGATCCAAGTGTAGCACGAGGTGAAGACAGTGCTGCGGGATTTCGAGACGACACAGCGCAGGGCATACTAGCAAAGATGCCACATATCCAAGCCACATATAGCCACACCATCCGCGATGCAGAAGGGGGGAGGGATATCCAGCGCAAAGGATCAAACCGAGTCGCCCCGTCCAAAGCATGTCTCAACTCCAGAGAAAGGAAAGACTCGTCGATCGAATGAGGTGGGGGCGAGGGAGCTTGCTCATTACGTGGACACGAGTGGAAGCGAACGATCGTTTCAACGAGTGGACGTTGGTGAGCGCGAGGTCTGCGGGGGGGGGATGGGGTTGGCACTTGCTCATGTAGCCGTGCCGAGGCGACGGGGCACTGCCGACTTGGACGGGAATCCCACGTGCACCCCCCCATGCTTTACAAGCGCTACCTGGAGTTGTGATGACAGAATGCCGTGTCGTGTACGCGTGTGGTTGGAGCGTCACCCGACCAACCGCTGTGTGGCTGCACATCATCGCGAGGATGGAGCCGTGGGAAGACGATCACTCACTTGGGGCAGCGTGTGCCCCGTCAAGAAGGTTGGCAACGCCCCATGCACTCTTCCCTGCATTTACCTGCACAAGTTCGATCCAGTGTCGGCGGCGGCGTGAACGACTTCATGTTCAGCTGCCCCTCGATATCATGCGAAAGGACCTACAGCGTGTGGCGCAGTAATCGTTGGACTCGACCCCCGCGTCGCTGAGAGCCGCGCACACGCTCAAAAGGTAGAGGACGAGATGATATCGATTGTAGCGGATTGTCGGGCTGCGAAGTTCAGCTCGTGGACATCCAAGCGCATAGCGCGCATGGCCAAGCTTGGCTATGACCACCACGAGATCCGAAGAAGATCTCGCTTCGCGACGAGGCCATCCGATACCGGCATGACTACCGCGCGCGCGGGAAGGAGTGGGTTTGGGTAACTAGAACGTCAGCTTTAGCTTCAACAGGTACACACAATGCGCTCTAAACAGCAGCGCAGTCGTCTCTGTGACGTCGAGGCCATCCCAGCGCTTGGGGGACGCCATGTTCGGCTTCGGCACCAGACTGTATGCTCACCAGAGTACTTTGCCACCCTCTAGAGTCAGACGCAGCTCGACGCTTCCAGCTGGAATACATCTGCTGATTCGATCAGGTCCGGGGCTTTGACACCGGTCTTCGTGTTTTGGGTACAAAGCAATGTATCGACCAGCATGATCACGTCCAGGAAATCTGCATCCAACGCAATATCGAGTATGCTGCGGTGGGCTGGAATGGGTGTCGAGAATCGGCGGCGAGGTGCCGCAGTCCCACGACCCGAGCCGCGATCTTTGGGTAGTGAGAGGGATGGGAAGGCGACCGAGGGGGGCCAGCACCCACGTGGGCGCCGTGCTTCACCAAGAACACACCCTCGCCATTGCAACCAAGCCGCTGGAGCGGACCGACGGCTACACGTCCATGCCATGCAGTCCGTGCGGCAGCACCGGGTGGCGCGCCGAAGGTCCGAGCCGTTGGTCCTCCTTGCCGTTTCGACCAGAATACAAGTGCAACTTCAACTTCAACGAATTCCCACCAGAACTGGGTCGAAAAAAAAAATACACGGAATACTATGGACAGATTGGGCAATATGTATAAATATTGGAATTAAATTACATCGGACGGTGGTCATGCCGCGTCGAGGAACCGAGCCAAGTCGTACGGGGTGTGCGCCTCGAGCAGCAACACTTGCGCAAAAGTCTCCAAGTGGCAGCACATTTGGTGCAGATACGTCACGTCCAGCGACCGGAACCACGACGACCGGTCAAGCACGTCGCTCCAAGCGCGGAGAGTGCGCCGGGATCCGTTCATTTTCAGCGTGTACGCAAACCGCTTGAATGCAGCAAACCGCTTCCACACGCTGTGGTAGGCCTCGCCAATCCAGCATTGGATGCAGTACTCGGCGTGGCGATCGTATCCGTTGGCATCTTCGACGATACGAAAGCTTCGGATTTCGAGGCGGGCGGCTTGGGGTCGTCGGGGGCTGAGATGGGCAAGCCACGAAAAGCCACTGGAAGCAAATGGAGGCTCAAAGTAAAGGTCCACAAGCGGAGGAAATGACTTCATGACATGGCGCTGAGGAACAATGTCGGACGTGTACAGCGCTTGAATGTCCGGACTGGTCGGGACCGACTGCGTAGGACGCGAAGGTTCCGTCGCATTGGACTTGGTCGTCGGAGGAGGAATGACGTGGACATCGTCGATATCTTCGAACCAGCCCCACTCGTCGTCTTCGTTGCTAGTGTCAAAGCAAGTGGCGTGTAGGTTGGTTGTCGACTCGTCCAACGAGCCACGGAGGTGGAGGACGTTGCGTTGGAAGCGGCGATCGGGGGCTGGTAGACGCTCGGTCGGCGCTGAGATGCTGCGGTGAAATGCGTCGTGCAACGACGTGGGCGCCGCCGATTCACTGGAGGCCGTCGACGCCGTCGCAATCGACGAGTTGGAGCCGTCGAGTTGTTTGGTAGGATGGAGGGTGCTTTCGACGGACATGAACGAGACGACTGAAGTGACCATGGCAGCAGCCTAAGCGTTCGGGCATGCACCGAAGAGCGGGGCCGGTCGCAAATTGAAAATGAGGCTGCAGCATGTGGTCGAAGCAGTGAGAAGTGTAGCCAGGTGGAAGTGGAGCTCGACTCGGGAATGATCATGATAACGATTCCTGTCGTCGATGATCTTGCACTCTCAGGAAGAATACTCTCATTCAGAAAATGTATTCCATGTCGAGGCCACTCGCAGAGAGTGGCATGCCACATGGAGACTTGGAGCTCTCAATCGAAGCTCACAGAGGGCCGAGAGAAATACACTTGCTTGTTGTATGGGTCCGGTGGTGTCGCAGACGCCAATGGACCTCGAATCGACAAAGCGCAAGCCTTTGGAAGCCACGTAACACACTTGCTTTTCAGCTCTTCAACATGGCTATGTCCACACTCACCCGTGGAATTCGTCTTCCGAACAGAGTCGTGAAAGCATCCAAATCCGAGCTCCGAGAGCAAGACGCAGCGATGCTTAGAGGAATAGAGCAGGTGTCTTATTTGAGACACAGGACCCCCTCGTGGCGGTGGCGGAGATCGAGACGTACCAGCCGGACTGGTGGCGGCAGAAGCACTCACTGTGCCTTTATCGGGCGTAATGGTGCGGGTATGACCCAAGATCGAGTTTGGGCCAATCCGAGGTCAGATCAATCAGATATCGCTAAATGATTGGCTATTCTAGGTTAATGTCGGGGTGACGCAGGGGGTGTCATTTTTGCACTGGTGGCTTTGGCAGCAAAATCGGAGCACGCTTCACAAGGCGCACCGCCGCGCGCGCCGCCGCTCGCCCCATTACTCGTCGTACGGTACGACAACGTCACGGTGCGAGCCGTGCACACCTCTATGTGCGCTGAAGGGCAGGAAAGAAGATACCGAAGGAGAGCGCGAGAAACGGTTGCATGTTGACTGAGGGCCAGCCAGATTGATGCGGCATACCTGATAGGGCGGGGGAATGCCAAGTTGATGTTTGGCAAGTAACCCAGTGATTCATCATTAGATCCCTCTCGATGGAGTCACCACGGAGGCGGCCGACATAGATCAATAGAGCCACGCTTTCGCAGCTTTCAACCCGTCCTCGAGATATTTTTGCATTGAAGGATAACGTTCTTCCCAGTTTTGCCCACAGGAGTTCGAACCTATGGTAGTTTTGATGGATCCCTTGTAAGAACGATTCGCCTGACCTCAGCGAACGACGACAGAGCATCCGCCCATGAAATGGCGCAAACCGGTGAGATGCGGAGGTGATGTGTCTCCTATTTTGCAGGCAGTGCCTTGGCGAAGAGTGAGCCTATATCGTGCGTGTCACTGAAGACGTGAATTGACAAAGAATCGCACTTTCACGAATTTTCCCATTTTATGTTAAGTACGCGTCCAAAATGTGTTCCGAATCGTGGTGGGTTCGACATGGCTGCGCAACGCCCCCCCCACAACGTGACGAAAACTGGCCACTACTGTTTGCTTCTTGTCCATGCTGCCACGTTTGCTTACATTGCGAACACCACGGTGCTGCTCCAAAGATAGCGCGATGTCGAAACGAGAATTGGGCTAGATTGTCCAGGAGATCTACGAGCAATGTCAGAAGTTGAAGCACGACAGTCGAATGCGTTAGTATAATGTGAAGTGTCAAAATTATGATACTTCGAAATATTTCGATTCAGGATAGTATCTATTGTATTTCTTATGCGTTTTTTACGAAAATTGCGGAAATTTTTGCCAAGAAGTAGAACTGGTGTTTGGTTGCATGGATATCGTTGCATTTCAACGAATTCGGAAATATCCTTGTAATCCGGATATGATGCATTTATCCAGACATTTTGCAAGGTGACGAGGAATTCCCTGTCGACTGCCAGAAGCCGAACGAGATGAACGTGAGCGCCCTCATCACAGGCCATGAGACTGTCGGCGACCATACCGAATTCGTTGTGCAGGTACGCGTACAAGCGGTGGCATCTTAAAGGTTGCAGCCGTGACCATGCGTAGATCAGCTGCAGCGGGGTCGTGTGGCTCATCTCCCGGCGATTTAGCGACTTTGATCAACTGCATTGCAAACTCGAGAGCGTGTTCCACGCAGCCTTGACAGCGCGGCTCCCAGAGAAGCAATGGTTTGGGCGGTAAGCTATGCAAGTGGACGAGAAATTCAAGGATGAAACCCTGGAGCGCAAAGCCGAACACGACCTCCATCTGTGTGTGTTCATGGGGGGGGAGGGGTCCTGCAAGCAATGGCGACGACGACGTGTCTGGACTGGGGATGGCTGTGCCTTGTGCAATGCGGATACGAAGGACGAGGACGACGTCTTCCACGCAGACATGTCTGTGGCGGATCGCGCCGGATGAATGTCAAATCACTTGATCTTATCTGAGGCTGGCAAGGCACGGCTGCCCTCCGTCCCTCAACACGCGCCGTCGACAGCTTCGCGGCAAACGCGATTCCATCAGAGAATTTCTTTCCATGATACTCGTCATTCGTGCTTCATTCGAGCCTCCACTGTGTGCCCATCTTGTAGCTTCGATCCCAACTTCATTGCAAAGCGTCAAGCTGGCCTCCAGGCGTACTTGGACGCATTGCTCCAGGTGTACGGCATCTTGGAGGACCGATCTCTGCAACATTTCTTCGAGGTACTTGCGGCCATGGGTGCTCCTTGCGTCATCATGGTATTAGATCGAGAAGAACGTGGAGCTTCACACGGACCACATTCGACAATCGACGCAGTCGGTTGGGTCGAACGGGCATGTCAAGCTCATGTCCGAAACGGATCGGTGGCAGCTCATCGTGGAGAAGGCGGAACACGAGTTGATTGATATCTCGGAAGTCCCAGAGCCCCTCGAGGTGCTCGTCTTTAGTACCTTGTCGAAAGGGATGTCGTCACTCTTGGACAATAGGTCGATCAAGCGCGACAAAAGCGAGCCGAAGTACTCGCAGCGTACACAGCCACGAGATCTGCCACGGTTCGAAGCCGCCCATTGAAGACGGTCCCGACCTTTTGGGACGGATCGACTGCCCCTGGCCCGCATGCAGCCACGTCGGCCTGGTTGCGCCAACTTCATGGTCGTCTGCACGAAGCGTTCCAAACCCAGCAGTCCATCAAACAACCGAGCGAAGACCTCATTGCATTCATGCCGCCTCCCGTGGACATGGTGGCGGCGCATTAATGCACCCCGAACTCGAACGACGGAGAAGGATCTCTCTCCAGCGATGAGATGGATTGGCGACGTCCATCCGTGTGCTGGATAAGTACAAGAATAAATATCTGATTGAAGCAACTACCACCACACGTTTGCCCTGCGAGTCACTCGAGAGCTCAGCGCACTCCTACTCGCACGAAATGAGTGGTTGTGGAGCGTGTGGCGCAGGGGCTTGGGCAGCCGTCCCATTTCACGATGGCAACTTTCACCTTTTCCTGACTTGCTTTCGAAAGCCTCGGATGTACAACACAAGGTCGACATGCAGCTTCTCGAACGAAATGGTCTCTGGTACGCCGAAAACTGTCTTCTCGACGATGCCGACCGTCGGAGCAGGCGTGATGCGCAGGGGCTGGCCGCAGCGCAAGCGGCACACTACCTGTTCCTGCGGCACCAAGCCCGACTCGATGACGTTCCAGAACGACACAATCGATGGGTGGCGCGGGTGGAATGGGGCGTCGTACGTCACGAGGCCGTTCTTCCACTGTTGCAATGTCTGGGGAAACTCGACCTTGTGCAGCAGGATGAACCGTTCGTATCCATTCCAATTGTCTACAACGCCCGGCAGCACCGAATCGAATCCGGCCTTGAATGCGGTCGCCAAGTCGGGCTTGAATTCGGCGGGAGTGCTCAAAAACGGTGGCGGGAGGACCGCCGACGACAGCTTTTGCCCCACGACGACCATGTGCGCAAGAAGCCGTCCCAAAAGACCAAACACAGACGACGGCGCGTCAAACAAGTGCGACCCGAGCCTTCGGAGTTGCGACGCCAAGAGGTCCCACACGTGCGGATGTCTTGACGGCCAAACCGTCGTTTGAATCGTCAACTCGAACGGGCGGCGCCAGTTCATCGTGGTCGGGCACTGGGCCTGGATGCATGTCCACAACTCGTCTTCTGACGGAGCGTACACCGACACCGCGGACTTCTGGACAGCAGGGATCGATGCCACGTGAAGCTGCAGCTGGAGGAGCTTCACGTCTAGGCGGAGGCACTTGCGGAAGCGCTGAAGGAACTGACACCGTCCGGTGAGGTACTGATCGGGACTAGCCAGCGCAATCGTTTGGACAAAGTCGTAGAGCGGCAAATGCGATGCGATCGAGTTGAGGATCTGATATACCTTGGAGCTGTGCGTCTGGCTGTGCTGGTACAAGTACTCGAGCTGGGCAATCGTGTCGGTCCGGAGTAGTTCGAGCACGCAGGTCGGTGTCGACGCATGCAAGATGGGCCACCACCCCGTCGACGTCAGCGATGGCTCGGTGTCCCCGCCGTGCTGCGTTCGTAGAGAGAACTGCGCGGACACAAGCAGCGCGACTGCCTGCGCCAACCCGAGCTCGGCGGCCATGTGCAGCAGCTTGAACTCTCGAAACGCAGCCAAGTCGACCAGTTCCAACGCCCACGCGTGCTTGTAAGTCAGAGCAAAATGCACCACAGTGCGGCCTTGGTCGTCGACGTGGGTCCACCACGAGTTGGAAGTCGAAGCGTTCGTCGAGAATTGGACGAGCGCTTGAAAATGGCTCCTTGTCACGTTCGGAGCCCGCAGGAGCAGCATCGCTGGTGTTTGGCCGTGATGGTTGACAGAAGCCAGCAGCGAAGGAGGCAGCAGCGCCAAGATGGATGCAAAGTTGGGGGGCGCGGATGCACACAAGGCGTGTGCAATTGAGTTTCCCGTAGCCGAGTTGACGACATCCACGAGCTCGGGCTGGTCTTGGAGGAGCGGGATGACCTGCGCCGGTTGAACTTGCAGGACGTAGTCGATCGGGAGGGAGCTGTAAGCATCGGGGACCTGAAACCACAACGGCTGGAGGCGAGTGAGCACAGGAAGGCAGTGGAAATGGCCGTGGAGGATCGCGACGTGTAGAGGGGTTTGATTGAGAATGTTGACGCTGCTCGTGACTTGAGACGGGGTGAACAGCGCCACGAATTCTTCGAGAATCGCTTTGGCACCGACCTTGGCGGCCACCACAACACCGTTCGAGTTGTCGTCCGCGAGGCATTTGTACCGGAGAAAGGAAGGTTTGGATGGAAAGTTGTCGATCGCAGCGCGAAATGCTCGACGCGAGTTGGCCTTGCAGCACAGGTACAAGAGGTGAGGCGTCGGGACGGGCGGAAACGATGGGCGGGACACACCGCAGCACGATGCACACCGGTATGGAGTGGTCAACGGCGTCGGGACGCACGTCACGTGGAACCATGACCCGCATGACTCGGTCCAGCACTGCACCCACTCGCCAATGTAGTCTTCGACCGAGGTAGCCCCACACAAACATCGAATGACGGATCGAGGCAGAGTTGGTGGTCGCCACAAGGGATGCATAGGCTCTGCATGCATCTTGACGGCGGGGGTCGCAGCAGCGGGTGCTGGCGTTGGCTCGACTTGTGTATGGGATGCGCCAGGCACGCGTGGGGCGGCGTCGACGTTTGGCGATTCTGGCTCGATCGAGTCGTGGTGCTTTGACTCTGGCTGGGACTCCACAGGATGCTGACCTACGTCGGATCTTGGTTCCTCTAGTGGGATCGCTGCATTCGCAGCCATGACGACCGGAGCAGGACAAGGCGATGCATTCGATGGACTTGGTTCAGTGGTCGGGCCATCGTCAGCCGTCGATGTTGCTGAAGTCGCTAGAGTCGCGTCACGTCGAGGGGGTTCTTGCGCAGCAGCAGTCCCCTCCGCGTTGCCAGGTACAGTCACTACGTCGTGGCGAGCACGTGGATGAACAGGGTCAGCGTTTTGCGTGGCTTGCGCTGTGACTTTTGGCGAGCCATCGTTGTCGTGGTTCGAGAGCTCGTCGGACAGATCATCCTTTCGCGTTGTATTTTCCGACGATTCAGTCGCGAATAGTTGATTTGAAGCGAATGGAGGCGACGACGACTTATCAGCGCGCCGTCGTTCAAGCGCGGCGTCTGGCGTGACGTCGATTAGAGAGTCCACAGGGCGAAGCAGATGTCCCCAGCCACTCGACGACCCGCGGGGCGACTGGTCAGAGGTGCCAGTCTCTGGATTTGGCGTCGACCGCACCCCCGCGTCCTTTGACGGTGACCTCGGACGAGGCCGATCACCGCCTCTAGCGGACGTGGTGATGGCTCGAAGAGGAGACGATGCGTGGCGAGGACTGCCCCAACTACCCGATGGCTTTGTCGACGGCAAATCGCCCCATCCCCTTGACGGTCTGGTCGGTGGGAGGTCTCCCCATCCCGTGCCTTTCTTTAGAGGTACAGACGTCTCCATTCCCCATCCACCATTCGACACACTCGACGAACCTTGGCCGTCACCGTTTGGCTTCGATGATTCCACGGATGCAGTCGCGTTCGTTTGATTGTCAGAACGACTTGCCAGAGTTGTTGCAGCCGTGGGAGCTGTTGGAGCCTGGTCGCTGGCGCCTTGCTTGCTGACTGGACTGAGGCCATCCTTGGCGGGGGCGGCATGGCTCTTTGCAAGTGATGTTTGCCGCGCTGGGGACGACTTGCGCGGTGGCGACATGCCATGGTCCTGACCAGATGCGTTGTCGCTTGTGGTGGGGCTACCTGGTAAGGACAATTTGCTTGGGCAGTACTTGGACGGGAGGGCTGCAGCGGTTGACGTCGGGGGCTGTCGTTTAGGGATCTGCCATGGGGATTCAGGTGCGTTCGAAGAGTTTGTAGTCGTTGCTGTCGGTTGACTAGCTTTCTGTCGCTTGAGTCTGCGGTCCGCGAGCACTGCAAGTCGGTCGTGGACAAAGTGGCGAGGGGGGGCATGCGCTGCTTCAGCCTTTTCCGTGGAAGCAGCTTCCGACGATAGCGGAGACGCTGCTCGAATGCGCTTCGATCGTGGCTCCTTGACCTCCCACGGTGCATCGTCTCTGAGGTTGGTCGAGTCGTTCCCTCGCCTGCCATCCCCGTTCTGGTGCCTTGCCTCCGACACCTCGACCACTGCTCTCGCCGAAGATCTCTGGAGCTCGTTGTTGGATGGCCTGGACGGAACCCACGCAGTCGACTTCTTTCGAACGTCGTCGTCTACCACCCTCGGCTGATCCAACGGAAGCTGCCGATCGGGGGAGCGCCTTGGAGACGAGTGGGACACAACGCGGCGGTGATGGGTGCTCTGCGACTGGTGATTCGAGCTTTGCGCAGAGGAAGGTGGCGTGGAAGCAGTGTCCGAGTGCCGACGTGGCATCAGTGAGGGCGGCTGAGTCGGTTGAGGCGTCCTGGGTGTACTAATACGTCTAGCGGGTTGGCTTGTTGCCAGGCTGTCTTGGGCAAATGCCTGCTTTGCCGCTTGAGCAGCGGCCGATGAGAGCTTCGCCGCATCGGTGGCGATTTCTGTAGCGGTGGGGGAGTGCTTCTTGGAAGTTCCAAACCGGGCGTAATGAAACGAATACTGCTCCGACGGGGCGTTGGGACGTCGACTGGAAGGGTGCGAGTCGTTGAGAGGATGGTGGTCCACTGGCCGGGAGGAACCACTTGAAGGAGGAAGTGCTCGTAGGTGTGGATGTGTAGCGCTGGAGAAAGACGCCGAATTTTCCGATGGCTTCGTGAGCCCGGTAATTCTGTGCTCCCGCTTCCAGTCGGCGATGCCTGGCTCGTCGTCCCAGAGCTGCTCCTCGGAAGGATACCTATACCTCGCCATTTTGGAGATAAACTGACTCGTTTGCCACGATGAAGACGCTCCGACGTAGAATTGCTGCAGCAGCGCCGTGTTCTCGACTTGGTTCGTGAGGACCCATGTGTCGTTTGTCCAGTCGAGGTTTTGCCATCGTACTCGCACAAGGGTGCATGTCTCATTGCGGTCGTGAATCGACGTGCACGAGATCATGTCGACGATCTTGAGCATGGGGTGCTTGTCTTTCGGGCGCGTCGTGACCCGTGGTTCCTTGCACATGCCCTCCAAACGTTTGTGCCGCAGGCCATCATTCGTCATGACGAGGAAGTTGCGCTCGTAGATGAAAGGAATCATGGGGCCTTCCATTATCAACTGGGCATCGAACACTGACGGAAGCAGGGTTCGATGCCGCAGCTCACTCTTTGGGATGAATACCGTCATGTCGTCCGTCAACGGCGGGTACTTCGGTCCGTCCATCGCGATGCCGGCACCTTTCTCGCGATGGTGCTTGCGTGGATGGTCAATTTAATCATAACCGGACACTTTCCATACTCAATCCTCATGACTTGCCACGATTTAATAAAAGTGTCACTCTCACCTAAAAGACCGCACTTTATCGAGTCACTTGGCGCCGTGCCATTCAAACTGGTGCCGACACAATCATGCCGCGCTACGTCGTCTACTTCTACCACCGATACCTGGCGTTCCGCTTCGCCGAATTCGACGCAGTGCTCAAGATACAAGGCATACACGATCCATCCTCTGTCTATGTCCGTCCTTCGGAAGCGCACGATGAAGCGACGACGCAGTCCCCGTTCCTGCAACTTACATTACCGTCGAACGAGGTTGCCGCCGCCGTGGCGGCACGATGCGTCTTGGTGAAGGGAATCTATAGGTACATCGCGAGTGGATCAACCTATGACGAGTTATTGCAGCACGCGATGACAGAAACCCCACTTCATCCGGTCGACGGTACCTGGAGCTTATGGGTGGATTGCTTTGGACTGCGTCTGTCGTTGCAAGGGCAAGACCAACGACGACATCGAATCACGTCCGTTCTGGACTTTCCAGGGAACGTGCAGCTCAAGAACGCGCAGTTCATATACTGGCTGTTCGAGGACAAGGGTGTCCTTCCGACGGAAATCGCCGTGAAGCAAGTCATTTTCGCACGGGAAATCACGCCGGTAGATAGCCATGTCACGACGCGGCACTGGATCGACAAACACCGACTGAAGAAGCGCAAATTCATCGGACCCACGTCCATGGATCATGAACTGAGTCTCCTCATGGCGAACCTGGCCCTCGTCGTTCCTTCGACCTTTGTGTGCGATCCATTCGTCGGAACCGCCAGCGTCCTTGTCGCGTGCGCCCAATTTGGCGCCATGTGCATCGGAGGCGGTATGTCGTTATCCGGATTCCATTATCCGGACCGTGGTTGACATTTCGCCTTAGACATTGATCCTCAACCGCTTCACGGGACTCGTCCTGGACTGAACATCGCCGCCAACTTTGCGCAGTATGGCCTTCCTGTTCCAGACCTGCTTCGGTGGGACGTGGCACACCCACCACTGAATTGCCGCCTTCGCAATCCCACGTTGCAGTTTGACGCGATCGTGTGCGACCCCCCCTACGGCATGCGAGAAAGCGCCCAATCCACATCCATCGACCAAGGCAAAGTGACGGCTTTGCCGCCCCATGCGGTTATTCCACCGCTTCTTTCGTTCGCAGCGACTCATCTTTTCCCGCGAGGCCGATTGGTTTATGTCATGGCGTGTCAGAAGCGCGAAGAACACGACTATGCAGACCATGTCCCAACGAATCCCCTCCTCCGTCTGCTGCACGTATGTGTCCAAGAAATGACGCGGAAATGGGTGCGACTATTTATCGTCATGGAGCGCGCAGACAGCGATGACCTTGATCAACTTAAGGACCTGGAAGAGAGCCACGCGAGGACAGCATCTACATCCAGTGTCGTGTTGGAGGATGTTCGCGGTCGTATTAGGCGTACATGCGCGCCGTCGTGCGCGCAATAATTTGGAGAATTTCGTCAATGTCTTCCTCGGTAAACTTCTTGTTCAAGCTCGGGATAAGCGCCATCGCTTCTTCGGGCTCTTCAGGATTCAAGTTCGAGAGACACGCGATCTCAAACTCTTCCAACCGCACTTCGATCGCTTGCGACGGGTCGTCCGGACTCTCGCGCGTGAACTCATACGTAATCAGAGCCTCACGAAGCTCCGTGACACTTGCCTGGTTGGCAACCGGGTCCTTCGTCCCCGAGAACCTCTGCACGTATGAATATGTCTTCTGGAACACCGACGTGAGTGGCTTCTCGGAACTCTCGTAGTCCGACTTTTGCTTTTCGAGAATCACCGCCACTTCTGCATTCGACAAGCACGTTTCTTGCTGGAAGTCTTCACCCAAGTTCAGCTCTGCCGCATCTTCCGTGTCCATCGCGTGCTGACGGCCCATCATGGCATGGTTCATGATGGAAGTCGGAAACACTCGACAGGTGGGAAGCGATGAAGTACTCGATTATCCGGATAAACATATCCAAGTACTATATATTTTGCTCAACAAACAGTAATAATGCATCAGTATTTCGAAATTACTTTAAAAAATACTGTGAATTGATGGGTCATGTAATTTACAAATCGCCATGTCTAGTATTACTAAACAATTGTAGTAGTCCAAGGATTGGCACCTGCCTTTGGACCATCGCGCAGAGCGATGTTCGCCCTCAGGTCGACGGCGGTGTTGCGAAGGACATCTTTGACGCTTCGCCTCAGCTCCACCAAGGCGAACGTTCACTCCCCGATTGGAGTAGCACCGCCGTCCTCTCGCTCGACGTTGTGGCAGAAGTACAAGCACTACTTGGAAACCTACCCGTTGACGACGAAATGCTTGACTTCAGCCGGAATTGCAGGCACGGGAGATGTATTGTGTCAGGCGGCGTTTGAATCGAAGCCGTTTAATGTTCAGCGATTCGCAACGTTTACAGCGCTCGGGGGAGTCTTCATTGCCCCCACGCTGCATGTATGGTACGGGTTCCTCAACCGCGTCGTGTCTGGCACGGCCGCCACAGCTGTCGCTACTCGTCTGGCCCTGGATCAGTTTGTGTTTGCGCCGACATTTCTTGCGTCATTCTTTGGGGTGCTGCTTGTTGTTTCTCCAAACTCCGGTAAAGTGATCGGTACGATGCTATGGTTACCTCCCCTTTAGACGACGCGACCTCTGGGCCTTCGCTGTCTGTGCGTTTCCAAGACAAGTTGAACCGCGACTGGTGGTCCGCCGTGCAAACGAACTGGGTCGTGTGGATCCCTGCCCAATTGCTCAACTTTGGCCTCGTTCCTCCCGCGCTGCAAGGTATTCATAGTACTACCTGGCCTTGTGCATCTTACTCTGCGAATGCTTAGTGCTGTTCTCGAACGTCGTCGGCCTCTTTTGGAATGCCTACATGTCGTATATCAGCTACAAGCCCATCGACGACGTCGTGGCTGAAGATGACGCTAACGCCCTCAATTAACAGAATTTTGCATTCTGTCAACGTAATTCATACCACTCTGGTCCAGGAAAAGAGGTCGGTTTGACTTTCGATTGGCGGGATTTTTGTAATATTGCATATCTTTTGAAACTAATTGGCTCACGAAAGAG